TTTACATATCAATGCCCAATAAACGTTAGACAAACAATGTGGAATGGGATCCAGCGGGAATTCAGCCTGTTCGCCCCACTGCAAATGAAGCATGTGAGGACATTGGGGAATCAGAAATTGCCACGCAACCAATGAACGTATTCATCATACGCCACGTAAGCCGGATACACAATAATAATAAAAGAGCAAAGCCCAAAGAAATACATTGAAAAGTCAAACAGCCAGCGTCAACTTTCCCCCGCACTCCCCTCACGACTGTCACCTCTTCGTTGTTTGCTACGGCTGCCGGCTGTTTGTTTTCAACTGCTCTCTTGCAAACTGTAAAGTGTAATAAAACGTGTTGCGAAACTCTGTCGAGCTGTGTATTTAATCACCTAAAACTCCATGGCATCATGTATTTATACTAGTAAATCAGTGCTCGACAGCCATAATTGATTGATGGACAAATATTTCACTGTATTTGAGTATATATTTTAAATTAATATTTTATAAGCAAATACTGCTTTAAGATGTTGATGCAATTCGATCAACTACGCATTTGTGCTACATATAAGATTTATTGCGTTACCAAGAGACAATTGTTTAATCAGGCTTACGACAATAGTCTTAAGATCTTAAGTTTTTAAATGTGCTTAAAGCCTTTCTCTTAAATAGTTACCGTCGCTGGTATTCGCTTAAGTCTAGTTTCTTGTGTGCTCGCTCGAATCTGTCTTTCCGTAAATATTTCCACTTACTCTTTTGTTTCGGGCTTGAGTTCGCATTGCCCAGCTGTGTTGCCTAGGGCTTGAAGACGTTTTAAATTGTATCCTTTCGGCGATTCGCGCCAAGATGTGGAGGTAGAAAAAAAAGAAGAAGTGAGGCAAGAGAAGCGAGAGAGAGAGAGAGAGAGAGAGAGAGAGAGGAAAACAGAAAGGAAGTGGGAGAGGGAGAAGAAAAGAGATAAAGTAAGAGGGCTAAGCATTTTACGTTTCAACTGTACGTTTTCAAGAGTTTTTCGTACACGCGGCGTATACGCAATTTGGTCTTTGCCTCCGGTCCAACTTTAACGACACTCAGACTGAGTGAGTTTACGCTTACCCTCTCAGGGCTGCGACCCCTCGGCTATAACCTGCGTACGCTCATTTAGCGCTTAAATACATTTCGTAGAAGTTAGTAGAAGCCGCTGATTAATTTTCCATGGCATTTTCCTCTAGTTACGTTTCTCTGCGCTGCCTATGTGCATATCAACTCGGTCTGCCTGCAAACGAAATAGCACCTCGAGATTTGTTAGTTGTAATTAGGATTTTTTAGGGATTCATAAAGTGTAGCTCTTGTTTAATTAAGAAAAGAATGCCTGAATACAAGCGGGAAATACAAAAGTCTCTCTGAGCTGAAGCATTTGCAAAGGCTAATTAAATAATAAACAAGATATTCAAAGTTGGAAAATCAATTTTAATAATTTCAAAAATTTCTTTTAAAGCATTTCGATTTGTCCTTCAGCTTCACATGGAAACTGTCGCAATTTGTGGGCAATGATATTCAGTTGGGCGTATATCAAGTGAACAGGAAAGAAAGTGTAATCAAACAGAAGCTCGACATAGAGGCAATGCAACTGGAAGTGCATGTGCTGCAAACAGGAAACAATGCCAAAAATGCAAGTGCAGACACTCGGCTCTCGGAGCGACTCAGTCAGCTGCGAAATTTGAAAATAATTTACAGAAAAAACTTCCATGAGACAGATGTCGGCCAGATGTGGTCACAAAATATGTGCAAATGCATTTGCCAGCATTGGATTTGATGGCTCGAAGGTTAACAACAGTCAGAAACTGTCGGAGCTCAATGAGCCCGAAGTGTCCTTGATGCCAGGCAAGTGACAAGTGTTTGCCTAGCTAAATGCATCAAAAACATAAGAGATAGAAG